ATTTCTGCACCTTCGGAGTCTCAGGAGGCTGTGAAGACATGCACTCACCCTCGAGGTCTGGGAAATCTGCACTTCCCTCCTGGTGCTGCTACGAATGAGTTGCCTGATCTTGGACATATCACTGTACTTTCCCAAGTTCTGGATTTAAAGTTTCTCTGTCATACAGATGAACATTTATATCTAAAAATCTGTGATGAACACTGAAGAACTTTAAGTCCCCTCATCCAGACAAGATGACTCATAAAAGTATCAGTGGAGTACTATGGGAATTTAATGAGCATCCCTGACCACACTTTCTCTGGTGAAAGAGATGACCATTGCTGAAATAAAGTAGGTAGACAAGAACCGCTTTTAATACTTGTTCCCAACTCTGGCTGAGAGCAAAAGGCCTTCCCAACAGCTCGCCCCTATGCCCTTGCTTTTGTCAGACTAAGTACCTCTGAGAGATTCAAGGTTCACGGTATGCAAAACCAAGGTTAATTTTGCAATGAATTTGACAAGAAAATGTTGATACAGAATGGAAACAAGTCTTGCAGCCTCTGACTCAGAATGTCTTCTTATTTATAAATGGGAAGCAGAGGTCCTTAGGAGTTTAATTCAACCCCAGATGAAACTGCTGTAAAGGAAGGGAGTAATGGAGAGAGATCCAGAGTCACAAGACCAACGTAGGCATCAGAAAACATCATTCACCCTTTTGGGTTTACTCATTGGTGGTTAAACAGTAAGGTACAGAGAAGGATCAGACATTTAAGAGATGCAATGAGAAATGTTTCCACCATTCCCTCTAATGAGTTCAAAAAGGCTCAGATCAATACTATGAAACAGGAGCGTGAACACATGGTGTTATAAATAGGCACTATTGGACAATCGAGCATAATTTTGCACACAGAGAACAAGTCCAAATAATCACCACCAGAAAGTGCTTCTGTATTTCTGACCTACTTTTCAAATGGTTAAAATGTGTACATGAAAGAAATCTTTAAAAGCTTTTAATGAATTAGAAAAAACAAGCAAGCAATCCTCCTGAAGATTTGTAAATTAATCTTGACATTTATAAAATAATGAAAGGTGGGAAAGCTGAGCTAAAGTATATATTTGTACAGCTATTAAATTTTAATACTAAGAAAACTTTAAGTACCTTTGATGACCAGGGTCTTCCTACCTATGGAACTCTTTGGAAGCCAATGATGAGTTCTGCTTCCAGGTGGCCTGTTCTGATTCTACACAGTACCAAGGTCATGGGGCCCCTCAGGATCCAGATTCATATTAAAGATGATAGCAAGGAAATGCATCAGAACCCCAGGGGGCTGTTCTGTCTCAAGCTGGGATATTCCATTATGAAAGGAAAGTGTATTTTTTAAACAGGATCTAATTAAAGGCTTCAATAAAACCAAGGTACATGATCATATTTATGTCCAGATTTTTAATAAAGATAGAGAGGCATATGGAAACACATCATTTAAAACACACAAAACCAGGAAGCACCTACAGTGGGTATCCAATGCTTGGATGAAAACTTAGTTCAATACAAGAGTTAATGTGGTTCCCTTTTCTAAATATTTGTAGTACCTGCTCCCAGTACTACTTGCCTGTCAGGTACATTACATGACCAGACCATAAACTTCAGTGTCTTGAGCAGTCCCTTTGTCTTAGGGTCTCACCCACCTGACATTCTGCTTAATTGTGACAGAAATATGAATGGAACTCTTCTGATAAGCTAATAGAAAACACCTACCAGCAATGCTGTCCTCTCTCCTTCAAACTGGCAATTCACACTCTGTAAGCATTTCAAGCACACACACACAGGGTGGGGCAAAAGTAGGTTTACAGTTGTTTACATGGAAAATAATCCAACAGTTAATAAATAATAATGCAATAAACTGTGTCTTGTGTACCCACAATTGTAACCCCCCTTTAGCCCCACCCTATAAAACCCCTGCACTCAGGGGAATATGGCTTCAAGTTATAAAGCAAGATCGAGCAGATGAATCGAAACATAATTTGGGGGTAAGTTGTCTATTAGTAAAATGCATGAAAATGGCAAGTCGATTTGTTACTCTCCTTAACAGCTGTCAAAAGAAACATTAGGCTTTAAGAAAGAAAGCAAAAAGTTATTAAAGATGGATTTTAAAATAAAAATAAGCAGATGATATTCATGTTCTTAGCTGACGGGGAGAGTGTTTTTTATCTGTTTTCAAGGAAAGGTGATTAATTGAGCCCATACCAATAAAGGTAAACTTAAAAGTTTTGTTTTATTTAAAAATTAGACTTGCTAAGATTTAAAAGGTAAAAAGTGAAAGCCATAAGGGGCCTGGAAGCCGATGGATACTAATGTATCCAAAAAGCAACTTGATAGAAAACTACTTATGACAAACATAAGACCAGTAGAATGCCTGACATACAGGACACAGAACAACACGTATTTGTTAAATTGATGAATAGATTTAGATTTGTCACACTACCATGTCTTTCTCCTGTTTCATTAAACCAGACTCCTAACCCTGTAAGTTTTCTAAAAATAATACCTAAAGAGAAAAAACATGCCCTGGCTGGAGTGGCTCCGTGGGTTGAACGCCAGCCTGAGAACCAAAAGCTCATTGGTTGGATGCCCAGTCAGGGCACACGCCTGGGTTGTGGGTGAGGTCCCCAGTAGGGGGCGCACGACAAGCAACCACACACTGACGTTTCTCTCCCTCTCTTTTTCCCTCCCTTCCCCTCTGTCTAAAAATAAATAAATAAAATCTTTAAAACAAAGAAAAAATTGACTGGCATTAAAAACTTATTTTACAACTTGTGACCCTTCTCAATATACCAAGACGGTGACAGCACTCGGACTGCTTCTATGAATTCCAAGGGTTTTTTTCCTCCACAATTTAAAATGATAGACCATATAGGGTGTCTTAACAGCATATGGCCAAGTTTATGAAAGCATCTGAGAATAATTCCATTTCATTAAAAAATGCAAATTTAACAGCAATGCATTAATTCATGCCAACCCTCCTCTGAAGACAATCACCAGGGACGCCCACATGAAATCAACGTGCAGACATCTATTTAACTTGTACCAGGGGCTCCCTCAGCAAATATCACACTACAGGCCACTCAGGTTTGCCTTATTCACAGGCAAACAGCAAAAATTTGAAAAAGCAAGCTGGAAGTGTCAAGTCATTAACAAATCAATCGATAACTGCTGCCTGCTTAAGTTCGCCAACCGAGGGCAGAGACGTGCAACATCTGCAGAGCAAACTGCTAACGGGCTGCAAGGTGTGATCGGCTTGCAGCAGAGGCTTCCGTATTTACACTGACTCCTCGAGGAAGCCTTACACTCCATGACGTCTCCTCGGGCTTCAGTAAGAAAAGAAATCCACTCCCTCATACTATTCCTTAGATACCAAAAAGCCTGAGATCTCCAAGGACCACGGTGGGAACCACTACTGTTTTGCCTCCTTCAAAGTGTCTGGGGTTGAGGCAGAACGAAACAAATGCCTGAGTGCGTTACGTGATGAGAAGCAAGTGGTTTAATTCTCAAATTTCCCATTTCTACTGTTTTAAGAGCAAAATTTTTAGCATTTGGGGGGCACACAGGTATTCACAAGTAGCCAACTACCCCAAAGTGACCAAGAATGATCCCAGTTTTGCAAACAATTACTTAAAGTTTGTAATTGTTTACTTAAGTGTGAGCCCTACTCATCACCACGTTCATGGTGCCCAGCCCTTGAGAATGTCATCCTCTGTGCACACTACCAGGGCGGTCACTACTCCTCATCTCAGAGAGCCAATACGTCACACGTATGAGGTCACTTACCCACCTTGTCAGCTAAGAGACAATGAAAATGAAGAGAAGTAAAAAAAGTTCTTCTTCCTCAATTTACACCACATGACAAAAACTTCTGTCTACAAAGTGTCAGCAATGACAGCAACAGGCTAAAACAGCATTGCCCATTTTCTCCTCTCATCCATTAAAAAAAAAATCAACAGCAAAACTCAACCCAAAGCCATACAAATGATGCTCTTAATTATGAGAATGGAACGCAATCTCAGGTCAGGATGGATCAAACCTCCTTCCCACTAACAGAGAGAGGTGGGGGAAAAAAGAAACCTCTTACTCATCTCTGTGACTTGCTCTGTGGGGAGAACATGACTATTTGTTGTCAAACGCAGAAGTTAACATCAGCACACACACATCTCTGCTGGAAGCGAGTCGTGCTGGGTTTTAAATGAGCCTGCACTGTATTTACTTACCCTCCTGTCTTACTTCCTGGGTGAAGAGTTTAATTAATACTTCACCCCAGGAACAATCCACAGAAGAAATAGCTTTATTGGGGTGAAAGTCATAACAGCAATCTGCTTTTCCTGCGAATGGCAGTCTCCGTACTGCATTTCCCTTCTCCTCAGTGGAAATCTGTCAGCTGCCTGCTGTCTCAGTGATGAAAGTGGAGTCCATAAAATGCCCCACAAAGAACAAGAAAAAACTGGAAAACATTCCTGTCAACTCTTCTTCTGTCTTTATCTAAGATGCTCAGTGTACACCTTCCCAGAGCACAGGGGACAGCAGCCCCCATCACCTGAGCAAACTGCACCGACACATCCCACCTATTACAGTCTGTCTGTTTCTCAGGTTAAGAGCTAAGGGCACATACAGCCAGGATGTTAGAAACAAGTTGCAAGAGGTGTGGTTTGCCCCACCCCCAGCACCGGACAGAAACCGCACCCACTTCCCACCGCCGGTCCTCTTCCCCAGCCTTACCCTGCCCAAGAGGTTGTCCTGAAGCAGCGTCTCTTGCAGCACTGGGGCCACCTCCTCCAAGCTCAACATGTGGCAAAGGTCGGTGAGTTCCTCCTGTCCCAGGGACCCAGTGCCCGTTGTGTCAAAACTGTCAAACAGCTCCTTGAGTCGGGCCTCATGCTGGTCCTGCTCCACCTCATCCATCCCATAGCCCACAGCGTTCACCTGTGCGGGACAGAGACAAGGACAGGTTGGGGCAGCCCCTGGAACCCCGATGCTGCCACCCCTCAGCACACTACCCCTACCCTCTGCACCCCCTGGTCGCCTTGTGCCAGTAGATCCGGACTTTGATGAGGGCCAGCAGGAGAGGTAACGCTGCGCACCCACCAGCAAGACCACGGGTCTCTCCCGGACCGAGCAGTGGCCAGTGGAACTGCCCCATGCACTCACCTGGGGGCGATGGGGGGGGGGGCATACCAACAAGGTCAGGTCACCACAGGCTAACATTACCAGAATGAGGGAGTCTTGCAGGCAGAAAGTGCACCCTCAAGTAGGCAGCCAGTCTAGCAAATTCAAGAGAGAGTGATTCTCTATGAGCTCATCTAGCCTATGACTTACAGACGATGAAAGACTACTTCTGACATCCAGTCCTTTCAAATGAAGTAACTGCTAGTGCCAACAAACTGCAGGGCTACAGCTTCCACTCAAGTCCACGAGCGCCAGCCAACCTGTCCAGATGCTGCAATCTGCTGGCTCAGATGAGCTGCGTTTAGTTTCTCTTCCTGCAGCCCAATGCTCCTCTTCGTGTTTAGACCAGAGGGTTGCAGCAGCAGGCACACGACTGATACAAAACCACCTCCCTGTTTACATGAGACCCAGTGCCTTTTACATGAGTTCCTCAAAAAGCAACTTAATTAACTTCATTGCTGCAATTACAGGCATGACAGGAAGCATATTCCCTAAAGCTTACTTTAGTCCCAGGAAGGTTTAGGTAATGCTTAGTTGCCTAGAGAGAGGAGAAAACAATACCCCAACCTATCAGACAGTGAGGTTTAAATGAGCCACAGACCATATGAATCCTACAGAGTCTCAGGGGACCTCTACCATCTAGGCCGCCTCACCTCTGTTCACCGGGTTACTCTGTCTTCCACCTCTCTGACCCACCCAGACCATATGTTCTTCTTCCATCGTCCATGGGATTGGTAAAAACATGGAGTCATCAATAACTCTTGCAATCATTTTTGCTAAAAATATATACCATAAAATACTAGGTACGTTCTACTTTAAGAATGAAGCTGGGGTTTTTTTGCTTGCACATTAATTCATGTATAATGTGTGGGGCATTCCAACCAAAGGCTGACACTGGCACATCTGGAGGTGCCTTCCCCGTGATGCGATGGAAGACAAGTGCAACACCCACCCTCACGACCGTGACCTCAGCGATCTGAAACAAGGCCCTCAGAGCCAGCCCTTAGCTATAAAAAGCAGCACCTTTTAAAAAATTTATCTTGCTAATATAATTTTTATTATGATAAGTGCCACATAACATGAAATCCACCCTATTAAAATTTGAAGTATGCAGACAGTATTGATCTCCAGATCTTACACGATAAGCTCTATACCCATGACACAGCAACCTCCCATTTCCCACCCACCCCCAGCTCCTGCAAACACCACTCTGCTTTTAAAAGCAGCACCATTAAATAAAGCAAGCCCTGGGTCAGAAAACTCTAATTTAGCAGCGCTGTTCTAAGGAGCAGATCATTACAACATGGGAGATACGTATGTGAGTTAAGATGCTGAACGTGGCCAGAACTGTGAATGAGAACCTTCCATACAAATCAGTGATGCTCCAGGTTGTGTGGATTTCTTTCCACAGACAACTGTTCACAACATGACAAGCTAAAACAGAACCACAGTCATCCCAAGGGTTTCAGCAGAAGCAGGTGGACTCAGAGGATGGATTCCAGTTCTGCCATGTAGCTCGATGTTTACTGGGGCTGCTCATTAACACGAAGTGGTACCATTGTGGTCCAGGCTCCTGGTATCAAAAGGTCTCTTCTCTTAACTGTCAGTTTTTCTATTACTAAGGTGCTGCTGACTCTGGCTACCTTCCCAGAGTTGGTCTGTTGGGTTAACTAATCACCATGTAAATGTTTTCAAAATAAACTGAAAGTGCTATGTAAACATCAAGGCACCAGAAAAGAAATACTAAGGTGTTAAGCATAACCACAAACGTTGGGAATTTAGAAAAGGCCAAGGCTTGACTAATGAGATTCACTCAGAGTCAGCCAGTTAATTGTGGGCTAAGATCTGCTGAGAATCCCCCAGGTGCTCTGGGATTTTCTGGGTTGCCATAGTTCTCAGACTCACTCTCGGGGTTTAACCGTCCCATGGGCTGTAATGCTGTAATCGGACCAACTTCATAAAAGCCAGACTACTGTGCTTTTGCTTATTAAAAACAACTCAAAAGTGAAAGAATTCTAACACTTCCTCTTTTAAAAACTACTTTTAAGGGTTGGGGGTTTGTTCGTCTGCACCAGTGAACCAGAGCCATAAAACTCACCACGTACTGAGAAGTCCTGGTCTTATCCACGGCTCTGAGTTTGATAAGCTATCATGCCCTGCTTTGGGGGAGGTCACTGGATTTTCACGAAATAAAATTCCTTTAATAAGAAAACATTCCTTTGACTAAAGGGGGAAACAGCCCCACCCTCAGAGAGCAAATGATGGTAGGTAAGAAAACATCCGAAAGATGTTACACACGGTGACAAGTTGTCAGAAGTCTTCTGGCACAGAATGCATTTTTACTGGTTGATATTATTCCCCAAATGTTCATCGGTAATTTCATGTGCAAGAATTTGTTCTCCCCACTTGCCAGAAATTTCTTTAAAGGCAGGGTCCACAATTTCAATTTCTTTCACAGCGTCCCCCAAATGCATAGTATTTGGGGAAATGTCCTCTTCCCACCACGATGCAGTAAACATGGGCTGAGTACGTGGAGATTTGAGTGGAAACTTCACCTGAATAACTACAGAATAAATGAGCATATGAACAGTTTGAAATGTCTACTTCTTCCGAAACACACCTCTACTCCCATCCAACTCTTTTTAAAGGGCACGTTTGGTCTTAGACATAACCAAGCAGAAGGAGAAAGCACCCACTGCCAAACAGCTGTGTGAGGTTTGGTTCAAGGATTTAGTAAGTGAGGCAACGGATTCTCACACTTGAGCTACGTTTGTTTGTTGTGGGATGTGGCTTTGGAGGACAGTCTGTTCTGAAACACCTTCCCTGGTCCCCTCATTTACAGGATGGGAAAAATTACGCCCATCTGGAAGGACTGTCCTGAGGGTTAAATACGGTAAGCAACTGAGAGTAGTTAATATCAAAGAAAGCTAATACCAGAGGGGAATTGAGAAAACCACCAAGAAAATACCTGTGGCTTACTAAGAAGGGGTGAACTGAAGATAAGTAGCTTACACAAGTCAATCAGCCACAGATCTGCCTCTAAAGAAACACAGCAGGAGCCCTGGCTGGTGTAGCTCAGTGGGTTGAGCTCTGGCTGTGAACCAAAGGGTTGCCAGTTCAATTCCCAGTCCGGGCACATGCCTGGGTTGCAGGCCAAGTCCCCAGTGTGGGCCGTGTGAGAGGCAACCACACACTGATGTTTCTCTCCCTCCTGTCCCCTCTCTCTAAATAAACAAATAAAATTAAAAAGAAACACAGCAGGAGCTGTGGAATGCCAGAATCCAGAGAACAAGAATGGGCAGGGTGCGTATTACGTACAGTATAATGTTGTATTACTCAATGGTAATGGCAGCAGGTAATGCTCAATGTTTCCTCAATCTTTATTTTTTTTAGGATTTTACTTATTTATTTTTAGAGCGGGAGAAAGAGAGGGAGAGAAACATCAACGCATGGCTGCCTCTCAAGGGCCCCTTACTGGGGACCTGGCCTGCAACCCAGGCTTGTGCCTTCACTGGGAATCAAACCTGCAGCCCTTTAGTTTGCGGGCCAGCGCTCAATCCACTGAGCAAGAGCAGCCAGGGCTGTTTCTTCAATCTTTAAAGGCAGACCATTGATAAATGTGAAACAAAAGCAAAAAGGCTAAAATAGAGCTGGGAGCTCAGAAAAAACCATTTCTTTTAACTTTCTAATCATTTACTATAAGTCTGGCCTATGCATAGCACTTTACCTATACGAACTCATTTAATCCTCCTAATACTTCAAAGTAGATCTCGCATTCCTCGCATTCCCATTTAAGACGCAGAAATCAGGGGTTGGCAGAAGTCTACAGTTTGTCCAAGGCTACAAGCACTCTCAGGGTAAGGCCAAGACTGGAAACCTGGTGTGACTCAAAACAACACTGTATCTCAATCCCATACATAATAACACATGAATGGGACCAATGAAATGATACTGGCGAAGCACTTGTTTCCACCTTTATGTGACAACCAGCTAAACAGTGCCAAGTGCCAGAAGTGGTTCTGTTGCGCGGAACACTTGCTGGCCGCTGACTCCTCCAGGACATAATGGGGGGGGGGGGGCTCCTCCCTCCCTCCCACCCTCGACCCTTTGTCAAATAATTGTCGTCTTCAAGGCATTAGGGATACACAGAATAAGTGATTTCTTTTTAATAAAGCGTCTCTGAAATACAAGGAAGAAGTAAATGTGTATGTAAAAATGATCATGAAGAATCCCATATCTTTGAGTGGGCCTAGTCCAGGAATGGATAGTTGTTAAATTAATTCTCCCAAACACTTAGCTATGTCTAAACTGTGCAGTCCCAGGCTTTGCACAGTCAAAGCCTGGCTGATGCCCGCCAATGACAGGAGTTTTACCCAGAGATGAAGGAAGTTGGGTTTGGAGTCAAAAATCTTTCCTCAAATGGCAAAGAACAATTCCAGTTTTATAAAGCCCACCACAAACCTGAGACTCCCGGCAACCATCTACCTCCACACCCAAACTGTCAGGAGCCTTTACCACTCCTCTGGGATAAAAGGGCCAGTGTGGGCAGTATTTTGGAGTTCTAACTAGGGATGGTTAAATAAGGGGCAGATGCACGGAACCATTAATCAAAACATTTATCACCCGGTGACCACCCATAATGAGAACTACACAGAGCATTTTCCTTCCATATAACTCAAAACAAGGCTGCCAAAATGTGCAGACCCTGACAGGGATGTCCATTACAGAGCTGTGTCATTGTGCTCCGCTCGGCAACCCTGGCTGATGAAACCACAGTGCCAACTGGGACTGCAAGAGGATGGAGGTGCAGCTGGAATGATGAAGTCCCCGACATAAGGCCAACATGAAGTGGGCACGCGAACTTATGAACTTTCCAGCATCCAAGATGTAGAAAGGAGCTTGTAAGATCGACATCCCAGCCAAAGGGGACGTCTGTTCTGGGCCAGAGGGAGTAAAAGGGGGACAAAGCCTGGCAAGGGAAAACCAAATAATAAGTGAGCACAATGCCAGAGCCCCTAGCTTAGGCCTTTTATTTCCCCTCCAGATGGTCCAGCAGCTGAACAGCTACGAGGAATGTCTGCATGTCCCTCTTGGCTCAGGCGCTTTCTCTGGGTATTATAATAGATGCTTGTGGATCTGTGTTCAGACATAGCTGTTGGGGGTCCACAGACCAGGCAGTGGCCACCAAGTGACTAATTCAGTTACTTTACAACTGAAGTGATAAACAGGCACAAACCCTGCTTGGGCAAAGCTTTTCTTTCACGCCTTTAGCTTTCACCATTTGGTCAGTCAGAGACTCATAATGCCAATGATCAAATTAAATTGTTTCTTTTTCTTCTCTCCTTTCTGCATTTTGTTTTGGTGCACATATTTTCAGTCTTACCATTTTGGGCTAATTTAGTATAAAATGAAATAGGGTCAAGGATAAATTCAAGTTTAGCAAAGCTTAATAGAAAAAGAATATATCCCCATTTATGTGTCTCTATAAAATATTTCAGCTCAAAATGATGGCTGTGCACACTGATCGCTGTGAGACAGCCTCCTCTCTGCTCAGATTTCATTTCTGCTCCAGCACCTCATTTCTAGCTGGATACCAAAAGCACAAGAGCATCACCAAGAATAAAATCATGATATAAAAATGTAACACAAAAACTCAAAGTCACATTCGATTTCAAAGAATAACAATCTTTGCTAAATACACTATAACATTGAATTTAATGAAGAGTATCCTACTAGTATTTGTTCTAAAACACAAATAAATTTAGTATTTTACTGTACTGAATGATGTAGCAAAGCCACCCTTTTGTTAAACCTAAGAGCAAGGCGGATTAGCCAATGAAGTTGTTAGCTCAGGAGAGCAGGGGGAATAAAATCATTAGCCCAGCACACTGTAGACTCAATAACCTTTAATCAGCTACCAAGTAACATTACAGAAGCAGAAAACCCACTGTCTGTTACTTTCTTAAAAGAGACTGCTTGTAACAACTTTCACTTCTTGAGCCATATTAACTCAAATTCATGTAAAATGCTGCAGCTATGAAAACAATTCCCTGGGATCAAAGTGAAGAGTTTCAATTTGACATCTAGAAACAATAGGTTTTCTCAACTTTGTTTTTTAAGTAAGCACTAGAACACGAATACTTTGTAATTTTTCCATCTAAAAGCTGGAATAAATGGTTAATTGCTATTATAAATTGCCATACAGAGCATCCTAATTTCAAACAGCTACTCATTTGCATACACCCATAATCTTTTTTAAATTCTATTTTATTTGTAAAAGGACAAAATATCTTGCTCAAGCTTCAGTAAGTCTCTCCATAAGCCCCTGCCCAGCAAATGTAAGTTCAATAGCCAGAATTCAAACCACATAATTTATTGGCATACAAACGAATTGATATTTGTAAAAATCAATCTTCTGAAAAGACTTCAGGTTGTTTGAATCCCCAGAATGTTCTGGTTAAACTTGCCAACCCTTTATCAATATTAGCCTGATAACATGTATTTTCATTGTCAACACAAATAGGAAGCATCGAGATTGGTGAAATGGTAGTTTAGAAAGCCATCATGTCCAGTGACATTTAAAACAATTTACTTGACCAATATTTAACTTATGATAAGAATATTGCCCACTAAATTAAGATTGATTGTTTAGAATTCATTGGAGTCTCTCTGTGACAGTTAATATCTTTTATATTATAATATCTTTATAATATTAAGGATCATCACATAACTAAAATGAAAAAAAAAAGAACAAGAAAAAAAGACACCCATACCATTCTGAGCAACTTCCTATTAAAAAGACAGATATATGACATTTTAATGCGAAGACTGTGCCTGTGATGGCTCCCTTTCTGTTGCTCCCTGGAAAGCCTTCTCCTGCCTTTGCCCCATGTCTAGCTTATTTGGAACATCCACAAGTCCTACCCGTTATCTCTATTGCAGCTCAGAAGTCTCTCCATTAAAGACTCAGCGCAGAATGGGTGAAAATAAACAAATCCACAAAAGAAGCTCCCCAGCAGTTCACCTGACTTCCCAGAGGACACTGACAACAGCTGAAGAGACCCCAAGAAACCGGTTCTGCAGCCAGCCTGTAATGTTACTTTCACACACTGTCTGGTGATTTTCACATCCCTCTTCCACTCCAGAGCAAGAGCTGCCAGTATTCTAGGTCAGCCACCGACATGCTAGCCACTAGCCAAGATCAAGATTAAATTAAGCTGGCATGGAAAAATAATCTGCTTACAGATTGTCCATCCTCAGGAAACAAGTAAACATATGCATTTAATTTAATGTATGTATGGGAGCCAACTGAGAATCTTCGATGGTCTCAGGGGCTTAGCCCATGTGCCATGGTGGACTTGAATAGGATTCTAATCCTAAACAGCTCCCACCTCAGTCAGAAAAGACAACCATGCAATCCGTTTTCATTTCATACATTCAGTAGTTAAGTTGTAGGGCAAGCCCATCTCGAAAACTCCTCAACCCTAGGAGGGGATCTGTTCCAGTAAAGCAAACAGCAGAAGATCTCATAATGGCTGAGTTGTCTAGACGCAGGGTACATGGTGGAGCGATCTTTCCAGCCCCCATCTCACCGGCAGGCTAAGGCCAGGGCTGAGGCTCGGAAACCTCCTCTTTCTCTCTCTACCTCTTTCACCTCCACAGAACGAACTCTCAGCAGTAACGTGTTCCCACCAGCTTCGTCCTTTTGTCAGGCACCAGAACCCTGGAAGCTTCTCCCGCTACACCCTACACTTGCATTCTGCTTGGCCTGGCAAGCACGGCTTTCAGGCGATAAACGGGTGGCATTTTGTTCTTTCCCCCTTCTTAGTAGTAATTGCCCTGGGAAAGTCTTCCTGTATGCACTGACCCCACACACTTTCGAAAATCCCCACGTTAAGAGGAGCCTTCCCAATACTCAAAATACTCCAGGCTAACACCTCGGGGTTCCCCAGACAGGTTTCTCTGCAGCCTCTCAATCACAAGGCTGCCTGGGTGGCCCAAGGCAACGGAACAACTATCCCCTCTGTTCCATCCAGGACTCAAGTCCACTCCTGGACCCACGCACAGAAGCCCCTTTCAGCTGCCGGCTGCAGGCTGGGACCACGCGGGGGGCGGAGGCGCCCAGACCCGACTGCGGAGGCGAGGTGCCGCAGAAGCCCGCGCGCGCCACTTGGGTCCCCGGCAGCATGCGACGCAGATGTGTCCCCGACCCGCCTGCGCATCGCCGCCCCCAGAAGCCTCAGACGCCCCGCGCTCTCTGCCCCCGCCGTCCTCGCCTACCTTCGGTCGCCTCTCCGCTGCGCCCGCACAGCCTGCCGCCCGCCTCCGGCGCTCTGCAAAGCGAAGGTGGACGCTTTGTTAGGGCGCGAGTAGCGGGACAATACTTCGCAGGCGGCGCTGAGGTTCTGGGCGGGCGTCCTTCAAAAGGACGTGAACGGAGACCCGCGCGACCGTCATTTCCATACGTAAGAGGCCAGCTTTTACAAAAGCGCGACTCGAGGGGGCCACGGCGCGCGTCCCCCACCCCCGCCCGCCCCCGCCGGCGCAGTCCGCGCCTCCACGACCCGCCCCTCCTCCGCCCCCGCAGCCGCCCCCTCCCCGCCCGGTCCCCGGGGAGCGTCCCGACCCGGCCGCCCGCCAGGCCACCCGCTTCCTCGCGGCCGCTCCCCGCGCCTGGCCCGCGGAGACCGCTCCCGCCCTGGCCCCGAAGGAACTGCCCTGCCCGTCCCGTGCCGGGTACGTGCCAGGCGCACAGAGCCCCACCGACGACGCGAGGGCAGGGCCAGGCCTCCGCGCACCCCCAGGCCGCGGGGGCCGGGGTCCCGGAAGCGGGCTGCACGCTCACCGCGCGTCCCGGGGCTCAGGCGCCGGTGCCCGCCGCGGGGACCATGGCCGCGGGCGCACTCAGGGCTCGCACGCGCCGGCTGCGGCAGCGGGACAGCCGCGCCCTGCGCGCTCGGCTCCGGGCTGTGCCACGGCGCCCCGGAGCTTCGGACGCCGGTTTGGAAGGGCCAGGCCCGCGCGGAGAGGAGGAGCCAGGGCGGCGCCGGCCGGGGCGCGGCTCCTCCTCCCCGACCCGGGCCTCCGGGACTGCGGGGGGCGGAGCGCCTGGCGCCTCCGGGGCCTCGCTGGGTCTGCGCCCCTCACCTTGATCGGGACTGCGCCCTGGTCCCAACTGCTCGGGGTCGCGGAACCCGGAGGAGCCTGGTCCGATCTTGTCTGCTGCTGGGAAGGTCGCCGTGGAGATTTGAACTTGGAAAAGACAGGACTCCAGGGGGTGTAGGCGGAGACCAGCGCCCCGAGGTCGCTGCCGCACAGCGGCCGGCGCATCCACCTTTCCTCCCCGGGCCCGCTCGCCTCCCTTTTCTCCCAGACGCGCCCTCGCACACGCCCGGCACACCCCGCGGCGCCCCGGACAGCCGGGGGCCACTTCTAGGTGTGGAGGAAGGGCCCGCCTCCAGCCAGCGGTACTTTAAGGTGAGCTGTTAGGTGCCTCTCTTGCCCTCGGGCGGCCCTCGATTTTTCAGTCCTTGAGCAGGCATTTCCGTTATCAGAAGAAAGGTCCAGAAGGCCGAAGGGCTCTAGACTGGACTCTGAGTCCTTTAGAGCGAAACAGCACTGCTCCCAGATCTTCACTGGCTTCTGCACCTGCCCCGCACTGTCCGCATCGGCCTCCACCCCTTATCCAGCCTTCCGCGGGTACAACTGACCCTCGGTCACTAGCCACCCGGGACAGAAACCCCTTAGTAGTTTCCAGACAACTATGGCTAGATATTTACCACCTCCTCCGTCTTTCCTCGTACTCCACTCCCCCGCCCCCAACCCCCAAATCTCCGCTAACTCCTCCATCCCTACAATTCTGACCTGGATGCAAACGGAATACAAGACCAGGCCTAGAGTGGGGCAGCTGTGGGCTGGGGCGATACCCAAGCCTCTCTCTTTGAGCTGCAGGATTAAATGTGTTGCCCTTGAAGAAGGAGACACCTGATTTATTACAACCCACCAGTCTGGTTATTTCAACAAGGAACTGGAGAAAGCGCCCTTGCTTCTGCGAGAACAAGGGACAGGAAGGAAACTAGCATTTGAGAACCCAGTGTGCTGAAAACTCAACAAAAATGATCCTACTCAGTCCTTGCACTACTTTCAGGATGCAGGCATTATCATACTCCTTGTGCAGCTGAGGAAACTGGACCTTAGAAAGGTTAAGGACCTCACTTGGGATCACATAGTACTTGGCAGAGCTGAGTTCCACAGAAGCAGATGCACAAGCAGATCACATGTGATAAAATTGCACGGAACTAAGAACACACACAAACGAGTACTTGTAAGATGGTGACATTTGAATAAGGCCCTAGGATTGTATTAATGTCAGATGCAAGATGTTATCATTGGGGAAACTGGTAAAGGGGACATGAGGAATCTCTACATTATTTCTTACAACTTAATATGAACCTACAATTATTTCAAAGTAGAGAGTTTTAAAAAATAAAGTAGATCGGTCTTATTTTAGAACCCCAGCGCTCTTCCTTCCACAGACAGTGTGCCTGGGGAATAAGAAAGGGGAGAGATTCACGTTCTGTGTGCACACCCAAATGCATGCAGTTTAGCATGGTGTTCAGTGACAGTAATTATGCCACCCATATGCTCTGTTCAGTGAATAGCTAACTTGTTACCAGAATATTTACATTGGTGTCATTTTATATTAAGGGAATAATGTCCACTGGGGACTAATGCAGCCAAAAGTCTTAGAAGATAAAAAATAAAGAGATGTTTTTCTTGCTTTACCTAATCTCTACCATGGGAAACTCAACCTATTGGTTTTCTCTCCAAATACCCCTTTTTAATCTGCAAGAATCTTAAGGATGAGACTGCTCATTAGTTTCAAACATAGTGATTCTTGGGGGCCAGAGATGTTGGGACCAGCATTTACTCCCTATGGAGGAAGATCAGCATTGGTGAGGGTTACATAATTTGAACAACAGAAGCTATTCCTTCTTGAGAAGAGTGAGCAGCATGGAGTGAGTGCTGAGGCTAGAAACTGGAAATGACTTTCAACAACCTCCAGCCTCCCTACAAAAGTGGAGGAAATGCAGCACAGTTACTTCATGGTGTAGCTTTGCAAAAGCAGTTTTACTAAGGTAGGTATAATTTAACACGATATGGCTGTGATTTAGGCTGCACAGGGTGAAGGTTAGTCTTAGTCCACTCGTCAGCAGAAGAAAGTGGGGACTTATCAATACTTTAGAACCTATCGCTTGAGCTTTTTTTAAAAAAAGATTTTATTTATTTATCTTTAGAGAGGAAGGGAAGGAGAGAGGGAGAGAAATATCAATGTATGGTTGCCTCTCATGAGTCCCCTTGCTGGGAACTGGCCTGCAACCCAGGCATGTGCCCTGACTGGGAATTGAACCGCAACCCTCTGGTTCGCAGGCCCAGCCAGGGCTCACTTGAGTTTTCTCTCTAGTAAAACAAAAATGAAGATAATAGCAGAAAATAATAGGCAAGCTCCGATTTAATTATATGCAATAATAGTATAAGTGAAAAAGAAATGTAAACATTTACCCTGTGTTAATGCCCTTTACAAAGCACATTTCACTCTTATCTGTTGCAGTTTGTCTGCCTCCGATGCCATCTCTCATCTTATGAAGAGCCTTGTTCTGGGACCCAGGATCCTTCAAGTATTTGCAGATGATGTTTTTGAGTGGCCTTCTGCTGCATTTTTCAGTTTTAAACTGGCTTTCTCAGACGATTAAAAACTCTAAGACGTTAAGTAAAGAGTACTCCAGTGAAGAGAAAGTTACTATTTCTTCCTGAAAGTAACTTTGTAATGATTAATTTAGTCAGGACAGCAAAAAAAAAAAGGAAGTAAAAGCAAATTCAGACTTTGTAAATTTCCTGTGCAGAGTTAAAGTTTTTTTTCTTTGTCTTTCTTTCTTTTTTTTTTTTTTTTGCTGATCAGGGAAAGCCTATAACTAACTCTACCAGGGGTGTCAAACTCATTTCCACCTGGGGCCACATTAGCTTAGTATTTGCCTTCAAAGGGCCAAGTGTAATTTTAGGACTGAATACATGCAACTACTCCTTAACTAGGGTCAAGGAGCTGGGTGCTGCCTCAGGGTAGAAACAAGGTGCCGGGCTGGATAAAACCAGGTGGAGGGCCCGGTTCGGCCTGCGGGCCTTGTGTTTGCCACCTGTGCTCTAACCAAACTGAGTCCATCTTCCCCCAAAGCTGCTGATAGGTGTAATTTATTTCTCATGTACAAAATAGTAAAAAACAAACAGACAAACAAACAAAAAAACCCCACGTCTTCTCCTGTCACCCTGTAGTAACTCCCAGGTCCTTCTACAATTCTTCAGTAAATGTCTTTCTTATTTTTCTGACCATTTGAACTGATCAAAACAGTCTTCAGGGAAACTGTAGAGTTACAGCAGGGAGGCTCAACTGGTTCAAGCACATTATCAGTTATGGTCCAGCCCAGGGTCTGTTGGAGTAAAAGGGAATCATTCTCCCCAGGGCCCTAAGGCAATAGGTAGTGAAAGGAGGAAGGGGGAAATTGACTGGAGACATGCAAGTCAAAGACTAGGATTTTCAGTCACAAAATGCTGGCGGTAAGAACCTAAGAAATTGACAGGGGAAAAGGAGAACAACACAGAAAAGGAGCAGGAAACAGACAAGGCAATCTGATTTATGGTTTAGCCCTGAAAGGGCACTCATTAGGAATTAGGATTCTCTCTTCATTTTCCCTCATTAAGTACATGAAGGAAGAAGAAACAGATTTGGCACAATTTAACTTTTTTTCATCTTCACCTGGGGAATTTTTTTTTCATTGCTTTTAGAGAGAGAGGAAGGTAGAGAAACATCAGTGCTAGAGAGAAGCATTGATTGGTTGCCTCCCGTAGGTGCCCAGACATGGAATCAAACTTGTAACCCAGGTATATGTGCTCTGACTGGGAATCGAACCCACAAATGTTGGTTATGTGATGACCATCCAAACAACTAGCCACACCAGCTAGGCCTGCCACTGTCCTAGAAGTCATGAGCCATTCAAAAGAAACATCAATCTTCATTCTTGCCCTTGAGGAATATATCATTCCCTCTTGGGGAAGCAAAAATATACACACATGAGAGTATAGGAGAGTACTGTGATAAGGCATTGGATTCTAATCAGGCCCTCCAGTTGGGTGTCACATACATATATAACATGACAGAGAAGAGAGGAATGATTGCCCTAAAAACATGGCTTCTATCAGGTCATTCCGCCCACTGATTTTCGTGTGAGGTCCTGGATCTCCTTCCTAACATTAAACCCCCCACAGATCCATGCAAATGTGCGTATCCTCAATGTCCCCGGACATTCTGCCCTCCTTCCACTCTGCTCGTAGGTGCTGCTGAGTCTGCCCTCTGCTGCTCTTCCTGTCCAGACCATCCGTCCAAAGGCCTGTTTGGCACCCTGTCTCTGTTCACTCTGCTTTATTTGACCCAGCAGTTCATGCATTTGAGGGAGTGGTTATTAAATATGTGTTTTGGGGAGCACATGGGTTGAACATTTACACGCTTTCCAAGTAGTTGGCCCTCACATGGAGAAGAGCTGTTGCATGTGTGTGCATGGGGGGGTGTCTAGCCATCATTTTTGAACCATCCTTTTTCATGTGCTGGAATCAGGAAATGTTCTGCTATTCCCGACTGTAATGCCTAAAGGTAGACAACACGGCTTCATTCAAAATAGAAGGAAATGTAATTCTGGTGTAAGAAACTTGAGTATTCCTTCCCCTCACACTCTCCTGAATACTTGGCCACATGACATGAAATGTTCACCTTTTTGTTAAAAAAGACCCTTGACTAGAAAATGATGTAACATTTTCCCCCCAAACAAGACTACTTTAAGTTTTCTGGAATTTGATGCATATACCAAAGAAATGGGGACCCAGAAACTTATATATTAAAATATCAATAGTTCTTCAAAAGCTTCTACATTTCAAAAAGTAACTACATTTCAAAAAGTAAAACTTTTCTATTTTATTTAACTCCAAATACCCCCAAATAGTATCATTTCCACATGTAATCAATATAAAAAGTATTAATGAGATCATTTAAACTAGTATTTGTATGAAGTCTTTGAAATCTGGCGTGTATTACGCATTTACAGAACATCTCAGTTCAGACTGGCTGCATGTGGTCAGTAAGTAGCTAGTGACCAGACAGTGCAGTGTTAGAACAGGAAGAGGATTCCACTCCCTCTAATCTGCTGCCTGTTGTTACAAGGAACCTGGGTTCAGGAGGGTTTAGTGCCTTCCTTGCTCAAGACGATCGTACAAGTGATTGCATCAGACCTCTAGTCTGGGCCCATCCACCCCAGTGCTGGCCTCCTGTGAAGGTTCATGGGTGATGCAAATAGCTGCTTCAGAATGAAACAGTGTTTTAAAATATTTTTAAAGCCAACTCCCTTTAAAACTTGTGGACCCCCCAAAAAAGAATTTTAATAAGTAAAATTTCAGAAGAAAAAAGCCAAATATGTACTATTTTAATATTTTAAAATGACAACCCAGTAGGCCATTTAATGCCTACCCCACAGCCTACTTGCTTTGCACTCAGCAGTATCTGAGCCTGCAGGGTACTCAGCGGAGACGAGGCTGGGGGACTAGAAGGCAGGGCAATGCCTGCCCTCCAGGGGCGTGTGGGAGTGATGCCTCTCCACCTTCCGCTGTTCATCCCATTCACATCAGCTCCTGCCAGCATCTCAAGGATCCATGTTTTCCATAATTAATCTCAAAGACCCTGAAATAACTAAGTGAGTTTTTGTCTTCCACTCTGCACATTTGGTGGTGTTTTCTGAACCAAGTCAAAGCTGAATTCGGGAAATGACCATTTCAAAAACGGAAAATGAGACCAATAGGAAGACATTGCTTCTGATAATGAGGACATTTGGCAGTCAACTGAATAATGAGAGCATCTTTGCACCTGAACTTTTGAGAAAGCAATACCTACATCATTACAAAAAGCAATTTAATCTTTGATTTACATTTTGTTTCATTTGAGAGAGAATGGGCATGATTCTCTGAGGATATGATTTAGGCCACTTTGCACCAAAATAGTGAGGTCAAAGTGACAACAAATCCAATGACAGTGACCTCTATGAGCCCTATTTCAGTCTATGTCAAATGCCATCTTAGAGGCAGAGAGTTGGGAGCTAATGCTGAGATGCCCAGATGCCATACTCAGGCCTTAATGTACTTTGTCCAATTCTTGATTATTGAGACCTCCTCCCCCACAACATGCAGCTGATTTCTGGGTCCCCTAAAGTGCAAACAAGATAAAAGGAAATAAGAGCAGTGGAGAAAGATCGGTGTCTATTTGTGTGTTACTGATCATAAGTCAAAGTCAATAACAGGTCAAAATGTGTGTGTGTGAGAGAGAGAGAGTGCGAGAGAAAGAGAGAGAGAATGAATGAATGAATGAATGAATGAGTAGGCAGATGTGCTCTGTAGCTTGTTTGTCCTCTCTGCCCTTCCCCAACCGCTCTGCACTGAGAGGCCAACCCAGATGCACTGCATTAAGGGGCTCCTTTGTGCCCTGGCATTCCATTAGGCCCAGCTGATGGGGTCACTGGCTAAAGATTGGGAGGCAGAAGGAGCATGAGGTTGGGGCATTTATTCACCCACCTTGCTCACTCTAGGGTATTTGGAGGCTGGTTGCATCCCTTAAGATCATAACCGTTGCGCAGCCCTCTCCTCTTGCCAGTGAGGCCTAGGATTAACCCCTTGACATCACCTTCCAGGCAGGTACTACCCTTGTTTCCCTGTGCCCGGCCAACCCTTCTGTAATTAATCCCTTTATTAACTATTCTTCAAATACCTAATTCGAGTCTACCCACTATTTCCCCTGAGATCTTGATCGATAGAGTCGTTATGCATATATTCCCTGTTCCAGAAACAATGGTTCTTCTCTCTATTAGCATATAATACCTTGATTTTTCTATTGTCCAGCATTTTAGGTCAGTTCCCCCAAGCAGACCTCGAGACGAGGAATTGTGTGCAAGAGTTTTATTGAAGAGATGCTCCTGGGAACAACCTGCAAGGGGGTGTGGTGGAGGAAGAGGAGGGGGAAGCAAGACAGAGAAAGCAGAAGTCAGCAAGGGTATAATTTCAGACAAAGTCCCAGCCTCAGCTGAATCTCGAGTGGAACTCTGGGGCATATACATCTCAGAGTTTGTACCCATAAGTCAGGGACCCAAGGACATCCAAGTCAAGAACCTTCAATTTACGCTCCACATATAGCCCCTGTAATTTGAAAGTATTTAGGGAGGGAGACACACTGATTAATTAGCTCAATAATGGAGTTATTGGTGAAGAGGAAAGAGGGACCTCCAGGTACCGAAAAAGCTCACAGCAGTTGCTCACAGATGCACCCTTTAAAAAAAAAAAAAAACACTGCATATAACTCGCCCTGGCCACCATGGCTCAGTTGGTTGGAGTGATGTTCCTTAAGTGGAAATGTGTGAGTTCAATCCCGTCTGGGCACACACCTAGGACGCGGGTCTGATGTCCTGTCCAGGCACACAGGGAAGGCAAACAATCAGGGCTTCTCTCTAGCTTCCATGTTTCTCCCTGTTCCTCGTTCCCCTCCTCTCTCTCTAAAAGCAATGAAAAAATGTCCTCGGGTGAGGATTTAAAAAGAAAAAGAAAGGAAGGAAAAAGAGAAAACACTGCAGGTAATTAAATAGTGTTTGCTTTTCTGGACTTGGCTAATACACTGTAATACTAGTAAAAATCAAATGAAGGCCAATTCTTAAAGAGCAAAGGCATCTTTGTGGGAATCTCAGCTACCAGATGCAGGTAGTAGTTCTGTGGTGTGTTTGCATGTGGTTGGGGGCAGGGAGATGCATCAACACTT